AATTTAGTTGGCATATTTATAATTAAATAAATGCAAATATTTTTCCTTTAAAATAATAAATACAATTATTTTATAATAGCTCAGTGTAGACTATTATGTTGGTTATACCAAAGTCACATTTGTACACAAATACGCGAACAGAACAAACAATAACACGCTAAAATAATATACACCGATACACGACAACTACAAACGACGAGAGGTTATGCATGGTTATGACCCGCCGACCGACGACACTCGGCACTAATAATATTTTCTCCCACCTAGGCCTCGAGCTGCATACACGAAATCGAGTGGTGGAACCGGCCGATGCGACCACGGCGGCTAGCGTGATTCTGAATTTGATATAAATTTCCATTAAAAATGTCGCACTTTTTCATGTATAACTTAATATCTAAACGTACGATTTTGATGATTTTTACAAAAGCACGTTTTACACAATATTTCTGATTTTTTGGTGTTTACTAAGAGTTAATCGACGCATTAGAAAATTAGCTATGTTGTATAACAAATTTACCTGTATTTTACACAGTGCAAATAGGTAACTCCTGCTTCGATACACACACCGTCGTACATACTTTTTTTTTTTACTTAGCTCGCGCCACGACCGTGGTGCTGGATAGTCTTTATTTTTGATTTTACAATTTGTTCATTAGTAGTGAAATTTTTTTTTCCGAAGATGACGGTTTCTAATTTACAGTACTATTACTTATGGAAAAAAAAATATCATAAAATAATTGGTACTGTCCAAGCTGGATTAATGCCCGCCTAAGAAAGATTGAAATAATAAGTACGTCCCGTATAAAAATAGTGAATTGATGTAACGGTAAATTAGAGAACCAACAAGGTTATCAAGTTTTTCAAAAGTATTACTATACATTCGCAAAAAATTATAATATAATATAACCTCCTACGTGTACGGTACCTACATACACATGTTGATAATTGACAAATATTAACTAATATTTAATTTCAAGATATTGGTAAATTAACATAACACAGACTTATTCATTTTAAGAAAAATAGCCGTTATAATTACAACTTTACGTTTGTACAACGAAATAACGTCAATCATAACAATAAAAGAACAATTTTAAAATAACGTATAAGTATAAAATAAACTTATTACGTAATATATTATCATTTGATATCATGAAAAATAAAATTTAAACACGTCAGCTGTTATAACGGTTAGATAGATAATAATCATATTTATATTAGGTGAAGCTTAATATTAATATGCACGTACACGTACACGGTATAGCAGGCTGGAAATCGGAGTCCTCTTTTAGTTTTGGTTCACTCTGATAAAGGTAGGTTTTAATATTTTTTCCTTTTGACTGTGGCCTACTTTAACACTCTGTAATGAATAAAGCTGTTCGTGTTTGAAACGAGTTACAACTTTACGAGCATTTGAATCAAAAAGTAATATTCCTGAGAAATATAAATTCTACTATTTTTACACATAAGTAAGTGTGAAAAATGTATGTTAGGCACATTCATTAATTAATTATTAATTACTCATTATTATCTATTTATAATAATTAAATAATTATGTTAATTATTTATTGGCAATTGCATTTATATCACTAGATTTGGATCCTGTTTGAACTACACGTTATAACAGATTATTGAAACTATTTTCAGTATGCTAATCATAAGGCACAAATAATTACTTTATAATACCCAAATAATATACATATTGTGTGTGCAATAAATATATTATCTGTGTCGTGTGTATTTATAATACAAAATGTGAACAAATTCACATTAATTGGATGTATTTAGATTTTCGATTTGTTATTTTAAGAATGTCATAATTTTATATAGAACGTATTATGGAAAATGCTAGTAGCGAAAACAGTAATTCTCATAAGGATAAGAACAATAAAGAGACCCATAACCAGGATGAAGAGACTAAAACATTTGAATGTAACATATGCTTGGATAATATCGAGGATGCAGTTGTTGGAATATGTGGTCATTTATTTTGGTTAGTCGAACTGCAACATTTTAATAATTATAGTTACAGTGTTGGGTTCAACTATATATTAAATACTAAATATTTAGTATAATAGGTACCATCTGTAAAAAAAATAGGTTAAACTTTATTTGACACCATTTTTCTCCCATTATCTTGATATACTAAATCTAAAATTTTTTTTTTGAAATTCAGATAATAAAAAAACTTGATACAAAACATTAACAAATGTGTCATATGAATGTAATATATTAAAACATTTTTAATGAATTCATAAATAATAAATCTTATATATAACAAATACTTTTTAGTGATGATTTAAATGGAGCTAACTAGTTATATTTATATATAACAATCAATACTATGTCAGTTTATCTTCTAATTACTTGTAAACAGTGAGATCCTTAAATATTATGAGTAAGAAGCATACTCATTTTTGATGTGCAGATGTTCATATATCTATCAAATGTCATAAAATGTCCATTATAAATTTTGTTGTTTTTAATTCCATTGACTATAAACAATTTTCAAATATATTATTAATTATTATTAACTGTACATAAACATTATAGAACTTACAGTTTGGATCTAATCTAACATTACTTATAGAACAGGGATCTAATCAAACTATAGTTTATATCATGGGCTAAGAATGATCTTTCATAGTTTGTGGTTTATATTAGGGGATTTAAATACTATCTGAATATTAAAGGCATTCCTAGTGAATATAATAATATACATAATAAACTCTTTAATAAAAATAGAAATTAGATTAAAAAATTATTCTGTTTTAAAAATAAAACCATTATAATAAAGGATCTTGAGTTAATATGAGTTAATAGGGTTAAATATAACTTGAAACAATTAATAATGGTTACAATACCACATTTTTAGTACATAGAATGATATTCTCTAATTTTTTTGAACTATGTTCAAAATAAATACCATATACTTCGGAGACAGAAACAAAAAATAAACCGAATATATACACAGTAAAACCAATACATTCCTCTCTGCATTTAGCACATAGAATGGAATATTTAAATTTTTAGAGAAATAAAAATAAAATATCAATAAAAGTAGGAAATTCAATGTCAAGTAGACTTAAAAATGAATTCAAATCTACTTTGGAAATTCTTGCCGCTTCACTAGACCAATTGATATATTGAAAATAGAACACATCTAAATTATTCCTACATTGCATATGTGTAAGTCAAAGACAGAAAATCATTGATTCCAGTCATCTTAGATTGATCTCAAGCTGATATTAAATATTTCTTATTCTTAAATATTATTTTTATATTTAATTTAATAGTTCATTGTTGTTTTAGGTGAAAAGCTAAATACTTTATAATAGATATTCAATTGATCACACTATAATCCCTATAATTTATTATAAAATTATTTAACAATATCTTTCAAATTTCAGCTGGCCATGTTTACATCAATGGTTGGAAACAGAACCAAGGCATCAAGAATGTCCAGTGTGTAAAGCTCACATAAGTAAAGAAAACGTTATACCAATTTATGGGTGTGGAAATACTAAACGAGAAGATCTACAGTAATTTAAATTTTTTCTGACAACATATTAGTTACATTATATATGATATGNCTAATAATATAGATAATATATAATATATATATCTTAAATATATAATTTATTTATAAATCTTAAATTTCCTAAAGATACAATTTTGACTAAATTTAATATCTTCAGAAAACATGCTTTCTATGAGAAGTCATTCTTTTCTTGAAGTCTAACATAATAAAATGTTGTTATTAAAATTTTCATTTTGTAAAAATTAATTTTAAATTTACTGTAGTTTTTTTATTGCACCTTACAAAATATTCCACTTTCATAACTGCTATATATGTAATATTTCTTTAAATGTTGTCTTTGTTAATAATAATTGAAGAATGAAACCCTATTGTTTCATAAGGTTTTTTTTTTTAGAAACAATGAACCACCAAGGTCAACTGGCAATGGAACTGAACTTGATACTCACATAGTAAACTAAAATTATTTTATATTTATTTGTTATTAAATTTATTTTATTTATACATTTTTTAGGATATGTCTGAGAATCATTTGATGGAAGAAAATGAAATATTTCCTCTTGACCTCTTAACATCACTTCCACCTACAGGTAAGTGTAATAACAATAATACAGTGAACTCTATGTTAATTAGTGATTTCATAGATATCTGGATATTTAAAAATCCGAAAATTTGATATTTGGTACTTTAAGAAGGTCATATATTTTTTACAATCCATTTCATAATTGTTGAGAAAAATTTAGGAACAAATGGTCAAATATTTAACACATAACAATTTCATGACTTTACATTATCATAACTAATGTTAAACAATTGTAGAAACCTATAGTTTTCTCAAAATACTTTATTGGACTTTTGTAGATGTGGTGGAATTTAATTAAAATTATGTTTTAAGAGAAAATCCAGATATTTCTAATACATATGTTAATAGACTACTTTAAAATTACTTGTGTAGTCTGTTCTTCCAAAATTGAAAATTTTTTATCTATTTTTAAAAAGTTTTCCATTAAAATTATTGATTTTGAGATTTTAATTTAAATAATGAGTTTATTAACTATGCATAGTTATTGATTTAATTTTTTTCAGCCAATAGAACATCAATAATTTTTATAATGATTGCAGGACAATTTTTAATTTTGCATTTGTTAATATTATTAATTTATTTATATCATAAATAAATGAATAAATGCACCTTGAGTATTATGAAGTTAAGGGCTGCCTATTTAAATTTTATTTCAGAAATATGTTCTTTTTATCTTATTTTTAAATTTCTATTTATCATACATATGTATATAAAATGTATAAGAATTTTCGCTAAACATGTTTTAGAAAATAATCATAATATAACTCTTCATATTTATACAGACTTGGAAATATTAAATACCCATGTTAACATTTACATTTATTTAGTTTTAGAAGAAATACACACCCACAATGAAATAGAGAAATTTAATTTTATTAATATTTTAAATATACAATCCGATTTTAAAAATAATATCTTATGTCAATACATTTGAGATAATAAATAATAATCAAACAATTTATATTTCCTAACATATCTATGTCTATTAATAACAAATTTTAAATAATTCCTTCTATTAAAATAAATCATTTCTTTATAAAAAAAATAATTTGTATAATTTTTTTGCCATTCGTTCTTTAATACTTTTATGAATTTTTTAACTGAAATTATTTCTAAAGGTTTTATTATAGATAATATTGAGCCTGTGATGATGAATTAATACTCCAGGTTACAAATTGATTCATTTTTTTATATTATTTTTAAATACATAATCTTTTTATGTATTTATTTACATTTTTATTTTTTGTTATAAATCATTACTTATTACTATTGTTATTTTATTTTATTTGATTAATAATGTTATAATATAAATGCGATTAAATAAATATTCTTGAATGAGAGCTTTTACAGGCCTTGTTTACTATACAACTTATTGGTTTGATTTATGTAAATTTTAAGTAAATAAATAAAAAAAAAAATTACTCATAGAAAAATCAATACATGTTATCAGATTGTTTCACTTAGTGTTTAAAAATAATGCTTTTTGATTATATCAGTTTTTCTTTTCTGATACATATAACCTTTTATATTTATCAATTTGTACATTTACTTGTGTATTCAATACCAAAATTGATTCTAAAACTACAGAAGTTGATATACATTATTGTAATTTTTTTTTTTGTTTATACCTTTTTATTAGACAATATTATTTTTAACTCACTGAATAAATATCTTCACATAAGTTCAATTCTTAAGTTATAATTATGTTTGTTTGTATTTTATGTAAAGTTTAGTTTGGACAATCTATATTATTATTGTGCTGGTTTTCTGTATACATTTGTTATTTATTATTTTTTGTATTGTAATATTTATTGTATTATTGGGCCTCCACTGATCATATACTAAAATCCATAGAATAAAAAATGTAAAAGTTTGTAGACTTTCATGCCATTGAACTGTAAGTTTTCATATTACTATTTGATGCTTGAAAAATAAAGTAAAACACTAAAATATTATTTTGATATTTTGTATTTTGCCAATATGTAGACAAAATTTAAAAATTTAAAATTGTATTAATAATATATTTTAATTTTGAATAAATATTATCATTATTTTAAATTTACCTACATAATATGATTTATAATTTGTTTCACATTGTTATTTTATTTATACATTTTCTTGTTTTATTTATTCTCTTACCTCCTCATGGTTTTTCCAATTTATTATGAAAGCAGCATGAAAAATCTCATATAACTTGTTTAACATTAGTATTCTATTGGTTGTAACAACAATAAGAAATAGGGGTTAAGTCTGGCCTAACCTAACCTAACCTGTCATATTTCTGCGGGAAATGGCAAATCAAAAATGTAATCACGAATGTTGATTAAGTAGGGAAAATGTTTGTGTTTGGCGTTTTCTATACTTAAACTTTTTTTTTTTTAACTCAAGAGCCAAACTTCTTCTTAAAATTTAACATAACTTAATGCACATTTTTAAGAAAAAGAACTATTATTACCACATTTCTTTAGATTCTGAGTTCAGCGAAGAGTGCATTTGTTTTACAAAGTTGGTTATTTTTTTTATTTTATATTTTATGTGAACACTTGTTTTAATATAAAGCTTACTTAGTTATCAAGAATAGCACCTTTTTCTGAAAATCATTTTTCTCTAAGTGGTACTTTAAAAAGGTAATTTTTTGAAATTCTCATTAATATTCGAAATAATGAGGAATATCAGGTTCTTTGGGTTCAAAAAGATTAATATTAAGTTTGTCATTGGCAACCGTTTTTCATTTTT